AAAGCCTTAATAATACCGTTGATTCCTAAGCAACAGAGTGTAAGTCTGTGTTAAAGGTTACACACTGAGCTTTTAGCATTAGTTAATCCATTTTATTTTAGATTATAAGCTTCTTTTGATTTTATATCACATATCAAGCATTTGCATCGTCGTCCTGATGTACAGCAAGAAAGTTCAGGTGGAAAGACAAAGAATAGGAACTATTAATTACACACATATACACACACTTCTTGCCCTCCAGCATTCAATTGGTTAGAACATGTTGCTAATGTGGCTATGAGTTCAGTTTTGATTCCACAAGACTCTGCTCAACCCAAGTAGACTTACTGTAAGCATATCTGTGAGCTTTGTTGATCACCAAATTGATCTACTTGGTGTGAATAGATGAGTGCAAACCACCATCATTAGTGGAAAAATAATCCTAAATATGTAGTTTACGGATCAAGGGTAAGTATCGTTGTCTTAGTCATCTAGCGCTGCTATAACAGAAATACCACAAGTGGATGGCTTTAACAAAGAGAAGTTTATTCTCTTACAGTCCAGTAGGCTACAAGTCCAAATTCAGGGCGTCAGCTCCAGGGGAATGTGTTTTCTGTGGGCTCTGGAGGAAGGTCCGTGTCATCAATCTTTCCTTGGTCTGGGAGCTTCTCTGCACAGGAACCTCAGGTCCAAAGGATGCACTCTACTCCCGGCGCTGCTTTCTTGGTGGTATGAGGTTCCCATGTGTCTCCGCTCACTTCTCGCTTTTATATCTCAAAAGAGATTGGCTTAAGACAGTATCTAATTTTGGAGACCGCATCAGTATAACTGCCGCTAATTCGTCTTATTCCATCGTAGTGATAGAGTTTACAACACATAAGGAAATCACATCAGATTACAAAATGGTACGCAATCATACAATAACGGGAGTGATGACCCAGCCAAGTTGACAGATATTTTTGGGGGACACAATTCAATCCATGACAATCATCTTTCCTATAGGAATGACATTCCATTTTGAGGGGAAAATACTATTACTGATAATCATTAAAACCTACCTTTTAGTAGCAAAGCAGAAAAACCATGGTGAAGTCTTCTTAACCTATTGCAAATTAAGATTTTTTTTTTTTTTTCTGGTATAAGGTAGTGACATTTTTGGCCACAGACACCAACCAAACCCAGCTGTATTTCTAAGTTTTGGATGATAGCTAACGGTTATCAAATTGGCCTAGTTACAATAATAGCATGCTAAATTAATTGTTGAAAAAATTATCCTCTGTGCATCAGTTAGCTTTTGCTGCATAACAAACCACCCTAAAATTTAGTGGCTTAGAATGAAAAATACATATTATTTATCATTAGTTTGAGTGTTGGCTGGGTAGTTCTGGTCTTGGCCGGTTCGCATGCAGCTGGATAATCTAAGATGGCCCACTTTCATGTCGGTTTGGCAGTCTGGATGGTATTGGGGGAGGGGGTTCTTTTGGGAAAGCTCATCTCTGCTCCACATTGTCTCTCATCCTCTGTTACACCAGCCTAGGCTTCTTCACATAATAGTCTCAGGGTCCCAAAGAGCAGTAAGAGGGCAAGCTCTAATGAGTAACTGTTTTTAAGCCTCTGCTGTGGCATATTTGCTAATGTCTCACTGGTCAAACTAAGTCACATGGTCAAATTCCAGAGAGATAGAAATAGATTCACCTGCAAAAGATTGCATCCGTTTTTGCAATCTACTGCATTCCCTAATTTTTCTCTAAATTCTTCTTAACTGCTATGAAAATATAAAATTTAATAACTGTTTTTGAGGTTTAGTCAGGTTTCACCAGCCTGTGCCCATCTTTTTAGCCCGTATCTACTTTATAGTCATGTTTGTTGTATACTCTTCTCCTCACCTGTCTCCTCCTCATACATTGTACCTCTTTGACCGGTACTTTATTTAAGTTCATATGAAATGCTTGATATTAGGTGAAAGTTAAAGGACTTGTCTTCAACATATGAGCCTAAGATCTCAAGATGTTTCAGAGTTATCTCCAAAGGCTTATAAATCCTTAGGTGCACCAAGCATTGTCACTTCAATATTCATTTTAGGGCAAAAAAGTTATGTGGCATAGGTTTCTAAGAAACTATTTGACAGTCTTAAGAAGGGATCCTTATATTAAAAGAAAAAAAAAAAAAAAGGAACCATGGAGCTAGAGACTGTCCCTCAAGTAACACACATTGCAGTGAGGGTTTCTAGCAAATCAAATGGTAGAAGTGTTAGGGAATTTAACCCTCTGGCAGATATAATGTTAGGAATGTTGGGGAATGTTGGGTGGTGGAACATGGGAGGGAAGAGGAAATCATGATTTTCTTCAGATTATACCACAATTAGTGGCTTGTTCTCTTCTTATATTTTACAGTTATTCTAGGTTGGCGGGGCGAGCTTCATGGCTGCATGTGTTTGGTTTAATGCTCTGCTCTTACCATTCTTGAAATTCTTAATAATTTTTAAACAAAAGGCTAGCTTTTTCATTTTGCCCTGGGCCTTGCAAATTATGTAGCTGTTTCTGAGGGCTGTTGATGTTGTTAGGTGTCGTTGAATCGGTTCTGACTCATAGCAACCTTACATACAACAGAATGAAACACTGCCGGGTCTTGCACCATCCTCACAATTGTTGTTATGCTTGAACCCATTGTTAAAGCCACTGTGTCAATCCATCTTCTTGAGGGTCTTCCCTCACAACAGGCAGGACAAGAGGATGACAAGGCTACTCTTAATTATAGATTGTCTTAGTTATCCAGTACTGCTATAACAGAAATTCCACAAGTGGATGGCTTTAACAAAGAGAAATTTATTCTTTCACAGTTTAGGAGGCTAGAAGTCCAAATTCAGGGTGCCAGCTCCAGGCAAAGGCTTTCTGTTTCTGTCGGCCCTGGGGGAAGGTCCTTGTCATCAATCTTCCCCTGGTCTAGGAGCTTCTCAGTGCAGGGACCCCAGGTCTGGAGGACGTGCTCCCCTCCTTGTTCTTCATTCTTGGTGTAGGAGGTCCCCCTGTCTCTCTGCTCACTTCTCTTTTTTATATCTCAAAAGAGATTGACTCAAGCTACAACCTAATCCTATAGATTGACTCCTGCCTCATTAACATAACTGCCTCTAATCCTGCCTCATTGACATTATAGAGGTTAGGATTTACAACAATAAGATAATCACATTCGATGCCAAAATGGTGGACCACACAATACTGGGAATCATGGCCTAGCCAAGTTAACACATATTTTGGAGGAACACAATTCAATCCATAACATAGAATAAACCAATGTTTGTGTTGTTGGCTAATGAGAAATGAGGAATATATTCAAATATAAACAAATCTACTTGTTGGATTTAGGTTTAGTAACTGTCAGAAGCACTTTTTATATTTAGTTAAGCTCCTTTGAAAACTTCTGTAGAATGGAGATAGGTATCCAGAAAAAACATCTCAAAAGCTAAAAGCTATTGTGCCTTTTCATAGATTTTGCAAGAGGAACTTTTTTGCTAGGGGAAAATTCAGAGAGTTCACGCCAAATTCAGAAACTTTTGAAGTGGTTACAATGTATCATCGTGATCTCTGATACTAGGATGCTTTATGACCTCTTATAACTATGTAAAACATATTTTACAGTTATTGAGGACCATACAAACATAGAGGACTTATATTTTAATGGATAACAAGAAACTTGGAGAGTAAGACAGTCATTATTTCTTAACCATGAATGGAAAAAAAAAAACAATAGAGAAATCCGTCATTTTTGATAGAGACTGAGTATATATATATAGGTAGGTTTAGGTTTACTTGAAACCTTCATTTCATTTTTATTAATAAGATATCCAAAGCTTTGTGTTTGAAAATTTAGTTTTTCTTTCATTGGTGGAGCCCTGGTGGGTCAGTGGTTAAGAGCTTGGCTGCTAACCAAAATGTTGACAGATCAAATCCACGAGCCACTCCTTGAAAACCCTATGAGGCAGTTCTATCTGTCCTATAGGTTTGCTATGAATCGGAATCGACTCAATGGCAAAAGGTTTGGTTTGTTTGTTTGTTTTTTTCTTTTCATTGGTAACTAACACATTTTTACAGCACATTAGCTGAATTTTTTAAAGTCCCTTTATATCCAAGTTATTTGTTTAATAGTCTCTCTTTTATTAGATTTGATTAGATTATGTCAACACCCATTTCTGGTTTTATAGTTTCTCTTCTCAAAGAGGAGACTTATATTATTCTGTTTCAACAAATATATTACAAGAGAGAATAAAATTAGCCAGAAGTACTACATTTCGAATGAAGAGAAATGATATTAGCAAGCCTCTCTTGTTAAGAGGAAGTTTCTTGATATTTTATTATGGATGATCAGGATAAATATCATCACCATCAACATCATCAACATCATCAGTACTTACTGAAATCTTGCTATGTATCAGGTAGTAAGTACTTAATATCTGCTCTCGCTTCACTTTTCCAAATCTATGAGTTGGGTACTACTCTATCCCCATTTTACCGGTGAGAAAAATGAGACTTAGCATGAGTGGGAAGAAGATCACTCTACACCTTAGTAACTTTTCTGTCCCTCATCAACCAAAGGCACAGGAAGGCCCAAAAAAGGAATTTCTCACTGGCTGGTCCTGTAGTAGTAATCACTAAATTAAAATTCTGTTCTCATGAAAAGTTGATTCTTAGTGAAATTTGCTTGCAATATTATTTAAGGAACTGTTTATGCCTGAGCTTTTTTAAGCAGCTATCAATATAAATTTTTCGTTGGTTCGTTTTCTCCCCCTTCTTTTATTATATTATCCTTTATTATATAATATTTTAAATATATTGTTGTATCAATATATTTTTTAATTAAGCTTGCTATATCAGATTTTCTCCAGAGTGACTTAAGTTTGCCTGCCTGAGGCACAAGAACAGTGTATATGATCAGTTGAAATGCATTCTAAGTAGGAGGGTAACAATAATAGTAATAAGTAAAAATCTGAATGAACTGTATTTTCTTTCTTGCTTTCTCTCATCTAGCACAAAAAAGGTTTCATGTATAAAGAAGATTCTTAGCACATTATCTATTGCAGTGGTTTTTGGAATTACCTGGGTTCTGGCATACTTTATGCTAATTGATAATGAGAACGTCAGTATCATCTTCAGCTACATATTCTGCCTTTTCAACGCTACTCAGGTATGATATGGATTGGTCTGAAAGTAGCAGACCATGGAGAGATGGAGATGATATCACCCTAGATCAAAGTTTTCTCCTCTTTAAGTTCCCTGAAGGCCATCCAGCTGCTAACCAAAAGGTTGGCAGTTAGAACCCACGAACTGCTCTGCAGGAGAAAGATGTGGCAGTCTGCTTGCACGAATATTACAGCCAAGAAAACCCTATGGGGCCATTCTGCTTTGTCCTGTTGGGTCACTATGAGTCAAAATCGACTCGATGGCAGTGGGCTTGGGTAATGGGAAGGCCATTGCTTATTTTTAGAGGACTCTGTGGTTAAAGCACTCGGCTGTTAACTGAAAGAGAAGTGGTTCAAACTCACCAGCCGATCCGCAGGAAAAAGATGTGGGTGGCAGTCTGCTTCTGTAAAGGTTTACAGCTTTGGAAACCATACAGCGCGGTTCTACTCTGTCCAATAGGATTGCTATGGGTCCGAATCTACTCGAGGGCAGTGGGTTTGGTTTGGGTGAGTATTTTTCATGTAAGGAGCCCTGGTGGTGCAGTGGTTAAAGCACTGAGCTGTTAACCAAAAGTTCAGCGGCTGGAACCCACCAGCCGCTCTGTAGGAGAAAGACGTGGCAGTCAGCTTCTGTAAAGATTTACAACCTTGGAAGCCCTATGGGGCAGTTCTACTCTGTCCTATAGGGTCACTATGAATCGGAATCACTCGACAGTAGTGGGTTTGGTTTTTGGTTATTTTTCGTATGCTCTGGGGGAAGAGGAAGGAAATGCATAGCAATGATTGCTCGCAAACTCTTTATGATATTCTATTAAGTCCTCTCCTGAGCTGGGTGTCATGAGATATGATTGCCAGGAGTTGAGCCATTTTAGCCCCTCTGTTCCAGGTTTGGTTTTTGGCTTTTTTGGTTCTGAGTAGAAGAGATTTCATCAAGCAACCAGTTTAGGAAACATCTCCTTTCCTTTTTCCCAGTGCAACAGGTTTGTGATATGAACGATGTTACAGTTATCGATGGAGCTTGGACCCCTGTGGGCATGGCTGAATTTTTTCTTTCAATTCTATTAAATTAATTAAGGCTTGCTTTATGGCCCAGCATTTGGTCTATTTCGGTGGGAAAAACAAAACAAAACCAAAAAAAACTTTTGCACTTAAAAAGAACATGTATTCTGTAGTCGTTGGGTGTCATGTTCTAAAAATACCATTAAGGTAAAAGTCGTTGTTAGGGTTGTTCAGGTCTTCTGTCTTTTATTCAGGTCTTTCGTCTGGTTCTGTCAATTGCTAGAAGAGGAGTGTTAAAATCTCCAACTACAAGGGCATATTTGTCTATTTCTCTCTTGCTGCATGTATTTTGAAGCTGTGCTATTAGATGCATATACATTTATGATTGCTATGCCTTCTGGATGAATTGATCTTTTTATCATTTTGAAGTGTCCCTTTAACTCTGATAACATTCTGTCATGAAGTCTGCTTTATCTTATTATCCAGGGCGATGTTAATATACTCTTCTTATGTGTACTGTTTGCATAGTATATGTTTTTTCATGTATTTATTTTCAACTTGTCTGTGCCTTTATATTTAAAGCATTTTTTTAAAAACATATTTATTTATATTCTTCTCTTTCTTCTTCTCTTTTGTTCTTCCCATCCCTATACCGTCTCTTTTTTTAAGAAAATTTTTTTATTTTGGAATAATTTTAAATTTATAAAAAGTTGCAAAAATAGTACAGAGAGTTCCAGAGTATTCTTTACCCAGTTTCCCCAATGGTAACATATTATGTAATTATAATACATGACCAAACCCAGGGAATTGACATTGGTATAATCCACATACCAGTTGTCTCCTCATTGGCTTTATTTCTTTGAGGTGATGAATTTAGTTCTAGCTTTGACTATAAACTAAAATAAATATAATTTATTATCAAGTAAAAATTACTGTAGTTTTGTAAACTCATTTGTCCCTTTTCTTCTTTTACTTTAAAATTAGCTTTTTATGCATGGAAGTCTCACTTCCTCAACTAGAGTATCAGCTCTCTGCATGCAGGAAACATACTTGTGTATATCTTTCGCAATAGATAGTGTCTTCTTCAATACCAGGATGGTCTGTAAGAAAACCTGTTGCTGTGGAGTCGATTCTGACTCATGGCAACCCCATTTGTTACAGAGTAAAATTGTTCCATAGAGTTTTCTTGACTGTAATCTTTACAGAAGCAGTTGGCTGGACTTTCTGCCGCAGAGCTACTGGGGAAGTTGGAACCGCCAACCTTTTGGTTAGTAGCAGATCGTAAACCGATCGCACCACTCAGGCTCTTATGTTGTTGTTGTTATTGTGTGCCTTTGAGTCCATTCCAACTCATAGTGACATTACAGGTAGTCGCCATCCTACAACGTGTTCGAGCCACAACAAACCACACTTACAACCTTCTGTTTGTTTTTAACTTGTTTTGTTTTTTTATACATCTTATTATTAGTAATATGTACTACATACAATGTTGCAGCATGTAATTTGCTGATGTTATCATTCTCAGATGTTTATTTGTAGATGTTTGTATGTGATGTTTCCAACTCGTAAAGACAAATAAAGATTGGATTTATAATGAAAAGTTAAAAAAAAGGTATTCGACTTATGTCAGAACCAACTTATGATGGAGTTGTCGAACGGAGCCCTGTCATAAGTCAAGGACTACTTGTATATGACAGAGTAGAACTGCCCCATAGGGTTTTCAAGGCTGTAATTTTTATCAAAGCAGACTGCCGCATCTTCCCCCCAAGGTGTAGATGGTGGATTTAAACTGCCGAACTTTCAGTTATCAGCTTAGTATTTCAACCACTGTGCCACCAGCGCTCTGTAAGGCTCCTATACTTCCCCAATATTTTGTGAAGAGGACTGCAGGGTTTGACCCATCAAGTTACTGCAAACAACAACCGTGAAGCTGGTATCATTTTGGTTGTTTCAGGCTTTGGCAAAATGTCATCACAGAGCAAAGTCTTTGATAAAAAATGAAAATTGTTTGGAAGGCCATTAGGTAAAGTTGACTTGACCACAGATAACAAGTCTGTGTAGTGCAGTGTGGGGAACCACTTGGCCATCTGAAATTGCCACCATCATGTTTAATGTTTGTAAGCACCTCACCCTCTATCCTACGCAGCCTTCTCTAGTGCCTTTTGGGACTAACTCTCTTGGACAATGGGTGAGTGCCTGTCACTGAATTTGAATGCATGTAGGGCAGTTCTCTGCTCTTGTGGACACCCAATGAGAACTCCCTAGAAGGGCAATAAATAGGGTAAGCTGGGATTGCCAGTTAGCCCATGGACTTGTTGCCTCGAGTGAGGAGGAATTTAAGGAAGAATCTAAAAGAAGGCATAGTCAAGGATATTTTCTCTTCTCCAAGCTTAGGAAGGGCACACTACAAAATACAGGCTCCTTACAAACTATTAATATTACATTGTAGAATTGAGGGTGGCAATGTGGCAAAGCACTATCATCTTATTTAGTCTGAATTCCAACTTCACCATTAATGATTCTTGTGACTTTAGACAAGTCTCACAACTTCTCTAGGTGAAGTATGTAAAAATATAATGAGGAGGGGATTAAAACAGACAGTGTTTCTCAAAGTGGATCTGAATATTACCTACATCAGAATTTAGGGAGTATGTTAAAGTACTTATTCCTGGGCCTCACACCTTACCTATTCAATTGAAATCTCTATGGGTGTAAGAGCTAGAATCTTCACTTTAAACAAGAACCTCAGGTGATTATTATGTACACTAGTGTAGGAGTGACTAGATTAGTTCATATGTAAGGCCCTTTCTAGATTTAGAATGCTGTAATTCTAATAAACACTTATTAAGTGCTGCAGCTATTACTTAAAAGGCACAATTTGATCTTCGTGCAAATGGCAATTAGTTTGACCCACACATTTTGTCTTTTTAAATAACGTCTTAAGATTTTAGGAAACACAGAAATATTGGAAATCCATCCAAACAGGGCCTCATAGGGTGGTATCTTTTTGGATTTTCCATGGTCCAAGATATTTTACTAATTATTGCACAATTGGAAAATTTGATCCAATCTTGTCTTTACGTTAGAATTTAAACTCTGGAAAAGTCAGGTGAAATATTTTAGCCCACAAAAGAGGACGATTCTCTAGAGACCAGATTTCTCATGTCCCCCAAATCCAAAACTTCTCTCCCTGGAACAATCAGCACGGCCAGTGACTACTCCTGTCCCGCAGAAACATGTGTGCCCAGGCACACCCCGTTGTGTTATCAGGGCTTTCTTTCTGCTGTGTTAAGTAACACCTGTTAGGTAATTTCAAGTTACTCTTCCGCTTTTGGCCAGAGATCTAGTCTCTCCCTTACCAATATGTGTTCACTTTATTAGTCACCTCCCAGAGTCCTTGGGTTATGTTACTGTAGCACTGACAGTCTCTTACAACATCACTCACGGGATATGGTTTTAGAAATAAATCTTTATAAGGCTTGGGGTCCTGTAGATCCAATCTAGGAGACATTCCATGGATTTTTTTTTAATAACCTTTTATTTTGGGATAGTTTAATATTCCCAAGAAGTTGCAAAGATAGTGCAGAGTTCCATGTACTCTTCACCTAGTATCCCCCCAATGATAATATCTTGCATAACAATATTACATTGTCAAAATCATGAAATTCACTTTGGTATTATCAATACTATCAATTATTATTGGTAATTATTAATATTATCAACTTAGTCACAGATATTATTTAACCTGTTATTTCCACAAAGGATATTAAGGAGGAATTACCTAGGACATCATAGACTCTATAATATGCGTTATTTTTCTATTGCAGTTATAATCAAGAGGCAGCGTAGTGTATTGAACAGAGGAGGGACTTTGGAGCCAAACATATGAGGGTTCAACTCCAGACTCTACCAATTACCAGTTGGGTAACCCTGGGCAGGTGGCAGTGGTGGGTCAGTGGTAGAATTCTCGCCTTCCATGCAGGAGACCTGGACTTGATTCCTGGCCAAGGCACCTCAAGTGCAGCCACCACTTGCCTGTCGGTGGAGGACTGAGTATTGCTATGATGCTGAATAGGTTTCAACAGAACTTTCAGATTATGACAGACTAGGAGGAAAGGCCTGGAGATCTACTTCTAAAAAATCAGCCAATGAAAACCGTATGAATCACAACAGTCCAATTCTGTTGTGCGTGGTGTCACCATGAGTCAGGGGATGACTCGATGGCAGGTAACAACAAGAAATCTTAGGCAAGATACTTAATTTATCTAAGATTTAGTTTTCTCATCTGTAAAATGGGGATAAAAAATAAACCCGTTGCCGTCAAGTTGATTCCAACTCATAACGACCCTGTAGGACAGAGCAGAACTGCCCCATAGGGTTTCCAAGGAGCGGCTGGTGGATTTGAACTGTCAACCTTTTGGTCAGCGGCCAAGCTCTTAAGCACTGTGTAAATAAGACAACAGAGGCAAGTATCTGTTCAATAAGTGGTATTTTCTACTTTTAAAACTTACAGAAAATAGTTCTCAGCCATTTGTGGATTAATTCCTCATATGCATCTGCTCTTCATAGGTGAATTGCAAAAAGCAATGAATAGAAGGGCTTTTAAAAATTTTCTTCTTAGGTGCACCGAATTTCTAGCTATGTTACTAAAACTCCAGCAAATGTAGAATCATAGAATGTTAGAGCTGGAAGAAGAATTAGGGATCACGTAGCCAAACTGCTCACTTCAGGAAACTGAAGATCTTAGAGATTAGAAAACATGAGCAAAGTTACACAGACAGCAAGCGGCAAGCAGGGACCTCAACCTAGCCATGTCTCAGACTCCACAACTAGTATATGTAGCACTTTGTATATGAGAAGGACTTTGTCTCTACCCTCTCAGATGAAAATGTGTGCAGCAGCTGCAGACTGGTAACTGTGAGTGGAAACATTGCAGCGCAAGGTGAGGTAGGTTGGCGGTGGGCTAAAGTAGAATCTCTTCCTTGGTTCTGTAAACCAGCATTCACATCAAACTTTCTTTCTATCTGCAGGGATTTCAAATTTTTGTCTTCTATACTGTCAGAACAAAAATCTTTCTGAGCAAAGCTTCCACAGTGTGGAAGTCACTGTCATCATCCGCTGGGAGAGTGAAGTCAGTGCCATCGGCGTCCCGACTGAAGCTACGTTTAAGGATGTATACTCTGGTCAAGTCATTCCCAACTCTCAAGGAACGCTTTAGGCTACTGGATCCATCTGAGTTTACTGAGGAGATGTCAGTGTCTGAAAGTGGCGAAGCAAACTCAAGCATATAGACAGATAGTAAGATTATTACCTTTTGTGGTCCTTTTTTAATTCAACATGCATACTTCTCGATTTATCTGTTTGCTTGCTTTGTTACCCAGCCCTCCCAGAAACTCTCCCTCAATATATTTTGCTCAGGGGTAAGAATTAGGTAGGAGCCCTGGTGGCACAGTGGCTAAAGCACTTGGCTGCTAACCAAAAAGGCAGAAGTTCAAAGCCACCCAGTGGCTATGCAGGAGAAAGATGTGGCAGTCTGCTTCTGTAAAGATTACAGCCTTGGAAACCCTAAAGGACAGTTCTACTCTGTCCTACAAGGTCTCTATGAGTTGGAATCGACTCAATGGCAATGGGTTTAGCTTTGTTTTGTTTTAAGACTTAGATAAAACTTGTTGTTTATTATCATCATGGATAATGGATTTGGTAGTTTTTCTATGTCATAGATTCTTACCCCAATAAGGTGAATAATTACACATAGCATGCAAGATTACTTTTGCATCTTAAATCACAAAGTCTGCGTGATAAATTTGGATAAAAATGTAGAACCTGGAAGAAATTCTTTTACAATTTACTAAAAAAGGGTGTAAGGATGACAATTTATCTTTAAAAAAAAAATGACTCCTGAGGAACATTGCAGGGTGCTGCTTGTATCGTATTTTTGATCTGTAAATGTTTTAAATTTGCATGTGCTTATTTCCAGTTAAGAAATTTACACTAATTTAACCTCTGGAAAGGCATATGTTTTCTGTTATTAAAAAAAGAAAAAGCATATTTTGTGAGCAGAGGTATTGGATCTATAAGAAATGGGCAGTGAGACATGGACAAATTAGTTGGTTAGTAAAGTGTTAGGATGTTTCCTTCCAGCTCTTGATAACGTGCTTATAGTTGCTCTCTTTCATTGATGAAATGACACCAAAACCCCAAAAATTGCAAAGTTAGTGACAATTACTCCTTATGACTTGTAAAAGATATCAGTGCTCAAGGAATTTCAAACACTTGAATTATGAGTAGTTTCTAAATAAAAAATGACCACCACTAGGGTGGGGAGCACTCCCACTGGGCTTAAGAAATAATAGTCTCTGAGTGTCTGTGCTTGTTCATAGACTAGGTAGCTGCTGTGACCACACTCAGCTAAGGGTCTAAAAAATGTCTTGTGAGCTGTGGCATACCCTTCTCACTACACCCTAAGGAACACGTGTCTTTAGAGAAATGTTGTAAATGACTGTTGGGTTCCTACGCAAGCTTAGGAACAAAAGCTTATTTAATCTGGAGTGAAACTGAGATCTTACAGGAGAATGGAGAAAAGTAAACAGAAGAGAGTAAAGAAGAAAAGCGATTCTCAGAGGCCAGTCTTCTCAGTGGTGTTACAGTGCTACCCCTAGCTGGGAGCCCTGGTGGCATAGTGGTTAAGAGCTTGGCTGCTAACCAAAAGGTTGGCAGTTTAAATCCACCAGCTGCTCTTTGAGAAACCCTATGAGGCAGTTCTACCCCTGTCCTATAGGGTCACTGTGAGTCAGAATTGACTGGCAGCAATGGGTTTTTGTTTTTTTCAGCGGGTTCCTAGATGGGTGCTGAACACAGGGACAATTATAAGATGTGGCTGGCCTACTCTATGTCCCAAAATTTGTATTCAGATGAAAATAAACCTTAAGAAAAGGCCACTTTCAATGTGAAGAAAAAAAAAAAAAATCACCAAAGAGCCACATTTAGCCTGAGGGTAGGTATATGTGTTTTAGTTGTTTTCTTTGCACTTTTTCAGCACTTTTGGGTTGCAAAATACTATATAATGTTCCTGGAGTGCCTGTACCAAAAATGTGTGAGTTCTATAAGCTAATTGTGGAGGCTAATTCAGGAGGATAGTGATGTTCTCCTACCCGCCCTGAGCTGGCACTAGGAAATCTTTTCATGTAAGCCTTTATTTTCTACACTAGTAAGGAATCTTTTAGTTTAGTGATAGAAATCTAATTCAAAATAGGTTAAGGGTCAAAGAGAATTTAATGGCTAAATTAATCGTAAAGTCCAAGGACCAAGTTGGTTTTACGTAGGATGACCATATATTTGTGTATATTTGTGCCTGCCTTAATTATTACTAAACCAAAAAAAAAGAAAAACAAACCAAACCCATTGCCATTGAGTTGGATCCAACTCGCCTCTTTTACTCTCAAACGTGCCCTTGGTTTTTAATTTAAAAAAAAAAAAAGAAACACACACTGCCATTGAGTTGATTTTGACTCATGGCGACCCCATGTGTTACAGAGTAGAAATGCTCCATTAGGTTTCCTTGGCTGTAATCTTTATGGAAGTAGATTGCCAGGCCTTTCTTCCTGATGCCACTGTATGGGTTTGAGCTGTCAAGCTCTATGTTAGTAGTAGAGCACAAACCGTTTGCACCACCCAGGGGTCTTAGGTTTGGAATATAAAATATGTGATAATCTTAGCTTTAGGTCTTGTTAGAACAAGGAATTCAAAGGTGTCAGTGTTCTTTCTCCTTGTTTCCTGGCTCTGTTTGTGTCTGTGTTTGGCTTTATTCTCAGATTGGTTTTAGGTGGCTGGAAACTGGTCATGGGCTCCCTAATCTTACAGCTTTATAATGTAATACGAAGAGAGACTTCTTTCCTCTTAGTGCCCACAGATCAAATCTAATGAAATGCCTCTAAATATAGCCAGTGTCCAGCCAAGAAAACAGAAAGCATTTTAAGTATTTAAAATAGAGGAAATTTAATACAGGCAATTAGTCACATGATATGAAAAAGCTAGGAGACAAAGTGGGAGAACACTGCCAAAACTCAAAGATTTAGCAACAGGCGAAAGCTGCTGCCTTTCCTAGGCTACAGAGACAAAATGAGAAGGAAGAACTTCCAGAGCCAGGGACTGGGGCTGAAACCATGGCTGGCCAGCGATGGGAGCAGGGACCAAGGAAAGGTAGGCTGCCCTAGGCAAAACAAAACAAAAAACAGTTGCCATGGAGTCAGTTCTGACTCATGGAGATCCTATGTGTGTCAGAGTAGAACTGTGCTCCATAGGGCCTTCAATGGCTGACCTTTTGGATGTAGAATGACAGGCCTTTCTTCCAAGGCATCTCTGGGTAAATTCAAACCTCCAACCTTTCTGTTGGCCTAGGGAGTTACCTGCACCACCCTGGGACTCCAGCACTAGGCTAGACTTCCCCTTCCCCAGCCCTGCAGTCTCCCATCATTATCTCCACTGGCTGCAGCCAGTAGGAAGCCAGATGAACAGGAGCCTGCAGGACTGTCTCCCAGTGATACAAAGCAGAGCAGGGGCCCTGTGAGCAAAGGACCTGCAGGCAAACAGGCCCACATTGCCTGAGTTGTGCACCTACAGACATTGTGTTCAGGGATTACTGGCCCAGCCTGGGTCACATACCACCTTGAAGTGGAGGAATGGGGGATGACCTGATTGATTGTCTACCATGGTGAGGAGAATGGATGGTTACACCAAGGAAGGGATGCTGGCACAAAATGTTAAGATGTTTTCACTGCTTCTGCTGACAAAATACAAGTACCTCCTGGGAAATGAAATACCTTCAGGCTCATAAATCATGTTCCTTACTCTGAACGAGCCTACTATATCCTTGTCTGAGCAGATTTTGAATGGGCGTGGGTAGGGAGAGCAAGAAATTATTTGGTGTTTTGGAAGTCAAGGAGCTAGGAGAGAGAATACAGGAGCAGAAGGGTGACTTAGAAGGAGAAAATTGCAAGAGAGAGATGAGTGTACTGAAGAACTGGTTTTGGTAACACTGAACAGGGCCAGCTCTGCCCTTCCATATTTTCTGATTTACTTTCTGGGATAACAGTGCCCTACAGTGTTTTTGGCTGTGGCAGCACATGTGGTTTCTTTGGGGAACAAACTACCCTGAATTTTCCTGGATTTCCTTCTCTGGGTCTTAACTTGGAAACCCTGGTGGCGTAGTGGTGAAGTGTATGGCTGATAACCAAAAGGTCAGCAGTTTGGATCCACCAGGTGCTCCTTGGAAACTCTATGGGGCAGTTCTACTCTAACCTGTAGGGTTGCTATGAGTCAGAATCAACTCAATGGCAATGAGTTGTTTTTTGGTTTTTGGGGTCTTAACTGACAGTTCAGAACTCACTGTTCTATCGTCAGAGTCTGGATTGCTTTTTCTCTTACCTTTTCTGATTCTGAAGTTTATCTTGCCTCTTTTTTCTGTCACCAACAAAAGAAGATCACTCTCAAGCTCATTGCTATCAGCTTTTCCTTGTCACATTCAGAAAGGCTTGACATTCTTTGTGATTATTTGGGGAACCTGGACCAAAAGTGCTGATTGGGTTATACCTGTGTGTCAACTACTGGAGCTCTTTGCCTCTGTGGAACCTTCTTAAATATGATCCTAAGCCCTTCAGTACATGGCTCCTCAGATGAGGTCCAAGATGGAGCCACCTAGATTAGGTTCTACCTAGGATGGGGTGCTGGGGTATTACTAAGAGAGGAAATTGCTTCTTATTTAAATTTAAAAATATATATATTTGTTTTATTTTTGGGGAAAATATACACAGCAGAACATACACCCATTCAACAATTTCTACAGGTGCTGTTCAGTGACATTGGTTACCTTCTTCACGTTGTATCACCATTCTCACTATCACTACCCATATTGTTTCACCACCATTGACTTGGATGTACTGCCCCTCTAAACGTCTCACTGAAGGAGCCCTGGGGGCGCAGTGGTTAACCCACCAGCCACTCTGTAGGAGAAAGCTATGGCAGGCAGTCTGTTTCAGTAAGGATTACAACCTTGGAAAACCTATGGGGCAATTCTATTCTGCCCTACAGGGTCACTATGAGCCAGAATTGACTCGATGACGGAGGATTTTGTTTGCTTGCTTTTTTAAAATGTCTCATCTCTGCTTCAGAGCTACTGTTGTCAGTTTGATCTCATATAGATAATTCTTTAAAAGAGCACAATGCTCAAGGTGAATGAAGATTCTTTACCAATTTAGCTAGACTGTTAAAGATGACTTCAGGGGATTGCTTTGGTTCAAGGTTTAAAGATTTTCTCA